TACATACAAGGAAAATAAGGATAACAAAAGAAATTGAAATGAACGAAAAATCTATTCCTAATCGCTACCCTAACCCTAAACCTTAGCCATAACCCTAACCCTAACCTAACCCTAACCCTAACCCTAACCTAACCCTAACCCTAACCCTAACCATAACCCTAACCCTAAACCCTAACCCTAACCCTAACCCTAACCCTAACCCTAAACCCTAACCCTAACCCTAAACCCTAACCCTAAACCCAAACCCTAACCCTAAACCCTAACCCTAAACCCTAAACCTAAACATAACCCTAACCCTAACCACAATACTCGCCTTAACCCCTATCCTAACCCTAACGAGATGTTAACACATTGTCCAAACAGTAATAAAAGTGTTATCTGGGTGAAACTTGCTCCTTATTTGATGAATAGGGTTGATATTTCAGCTATGATAATGACAGGAACCGTTAGCCAACGACTAGCATGCGTTCGAGGTCATTTGAGCGTTGAAGGTTTTGGGACGCTATTCTTAAACTTCGCCCTATTCTAATATAGTAACATAGACTATGCTAATAATAGTGACATTAAACTCCCTTACTGTTTTGCCATTGTTTGACAGTGAAACTATGCGCTGATTTTTCAGCATGAGTGGCACTAAATCGAACCTACTGGGTTTGCTTATCAACATTGTTCTAGCCCTCACAGGACATATTAAGCATGGACTAGCGATACTCTAGAGCGGAAAGTTTTGATTCAGCACGTAGCTGTCTTTTTAAGCACTACCTGTGTCATTTCAGAACATAGTGGGTAAATATGTTCTTCAGTTACCATAAAAAGGCATTATCGAGGAATAAGTTAGAATAAATTTAGAATTGTTCTAAGCTTGGTGTGCTGCGGTCTAAGTGATAAACGGTATTAATCACCGTTATTCAGGATATGCTATGAACCGGAAATCCTCAGCTGAAAAAACGTATGAATAAGACACAGATCGGTGTAATTTATAACTGACTCCAAATTGCTTTCATCACGAAATAATCAACCAGAGTATGCTTTAAACTGCCACTCTCAGCCGTTTGAAGGGAAATTTACTTGATTTATGCTGACCTAGTATGCACAAATCCCAAAGGTCATTGAATTGACAACTTAAAAAAGTAGATTAGTTAATACATACATTTATCTATATGTACTAATTAAGGATACATTAAAATTTTGGGAATCGTAGTTAAATTTTATTCGCCTATTAATCAAAAATGCATACATCCTATTTTGGACTTAAAATAAATGCATCGAAATTATTGTTGATTTATATTCAGTTACTAGACATTCTGATACATCTTAATGTACTTTAAACACCACCAATGCATCCAAATAACGTGTGACTATCACACTACACTCATACCAAAAAAATTAACACGCCATTATATTATGGTAAGGTAAGCCTTAAATCATACTGACTGTAAATTTCCGTGTCAAAATAAAAAGATTTACCGCTTTAACTTATATTTTAGACCAATAGGAAGCCAGCTAACCAAAAGCCAATCAAAATCTGCCTATATCTATTTTCGATAAAGTGAGTGTTTTTGCCTCGCTACTGCATTTATCACAGAAAGAGATGGCTTTAACTTGAGTCAATCTTTAAACTAGATGGTGTCAGGCTGTTTGTATTTTAAGATCGAGTTTCGCGGAAATGACCAATTCCTTGTGGCATCAGTAGATATCTTACCAAACTTGTGGCCACGTGTTTGGTAATTGGGCTAAGGTGGCTGAAACAGTTAAACCTCACCCTGTCCTTCTGTTAACATTCTAATCGAAGTTACTTAAGATAATATTTTTTATGTCAAAACCAAGATGGACTTTTACAGGCAGCAACTTACCTCCTTTTCTTACTTGGCCTTAGGAATTCAGCTTAATCTGACTACAAAATTATCCGATAAATGTGGATCAATTGACCGTTTTCTAACACAGGTGTCTGTTTTCATGTAGGTCGGTGCAGTGTGTTCAGTGATATTGCGGTTATAGCATCAATCTTTAGGCGCAGGACGTTCGGTAAGAATGAGAAATTAGTCGATTATGCTACACATCAGTGACAGGTAAAATAGCTAGGCCACACGCTTAATGTGTGGACAAATCAAACCCTGCACTAATCCATTTAGTCACGTGGGGAGGTGTGTACTGACTAACTGGGGTCCTCGAGACTAAGAACTGTTGACTAGAGACTGTTGGTGATATGCCTCAAAATGTTTGCGAAAGGCACAGAAACATTTAATGCACTAACTCCCAGATAAATATGGTTCATTACCCTTCGTGTAGTTCCTTCTTAGTTGAACCTCTGTCCAGTGTAGTTCCTTCGCGTATTTTGTGCAAAATGCAATGTTCAAATTCAGTCAGTCAACGCGTCACATTTGAATTATTTGCATAGGTATGCTTTTAATTTTAAAACAACAGTAGAAAATTATTTTAAGATTAAACATCGACTCGGCTAATATATATGTACTTAAGTAATGTAAAGGTTGCAGCAGTTTTTTTGTTGAGCTTATCATTTGAGGACAGTTGAGGCAAGTAGCGGTAAATTCTGCTAATAATAATCACTTTATTCTAAGCAGTATTGTTGATGAAGAATGGTATTTCCAGCATTGCGCATATTACACTTTATCTCTTAAAAATACATAAAATTGTTAAAATAATAAAATCTTAGGGACTGAAGTGAACAGAGGAATAATACAGCTGCTATTAAAGCTAGTAATAAGTTACAGATCATGAAGGTTTAGTAATTTTTTCTCTAATATATATCTTGATGCTCAACCATATTCAAAATGGAACCTTCCGAAAAGTAATTTTAACCGTCAGAATATGCTGACAAATAACCTGTATTTCTAAATTATATGTATTATTTCTTGGGCAATAGAGTAAATTCTATAGTCTAAATTGAAAGGCCCAACAGCAAAGTTTCAACATTTCAACGTTTAATGACGACAATAACCCTGACTAAACATCCACCTTCCCGACAAATCATTAGTACATACCATTTCCGTCGAGAAAACGTAGCATTAAAAAATGTAGGCAGTTTTTAAGGCTTACGTAATTCCAGTATATCAAACATGTTACAGGAATAATAAACTAATGTCAATAGTTGGTCATTTAAGTGGAGAAAAGTAATAAGTTGTCGTTAAAAGATATGACAAGTCAGAAGCAGAAAATATCGAACTGAAATGGAACTACCGACTTAAAGGAAGCGCACACCGTACTTCCTACTAGACAGGCGAAACATGTTATTATAATTAAATTTGAACTACTTGGTATATTTATAAACTTGGCTGACAACATAGACAAATACAGACAAATATGTATATATGACAGTTTGACATAAGTCATTGCAAATGTATGACTGTTTACACTTTTCTATTGGTGCAAATGTCTGCCAAAAAGTGGCCCTCAGAGGAACTGACTTCAACTTACGTGATTTTTACCATGTATTTTTATGGTTAATAAAACCCGAATAATTCTGCTAAAGAAACTGTGGATTACACAGGGGAACATTCAGATAAATCTTGTTTTGATTTCCTCTTAAACACACTGGGATTATTTTAAATAATTTTTTAATGGTTTATAACAACAGTTGCAGCCACAGTATTCCGGTTATTGCAGTTACTTCATAGAGCCATTAGGTTTTCTGATAAAGAAATGTTCAACATCGTAAATACTATTAACATGTTGTGAATTTTTCTTATAATACGTATCTAATAATATTCATATCTCTACCGCTATTAACACTCCTTTTTCCCTTTATACTTCATGGTTCATGAAGCCGGCTCATCCCGTAGGAGTAGCCGAAGTAAAGTAAAGTAAGTATACGTTTAAGCCATTCCGGCTTCAGTGTAAAATGAATAAAGCCTAAATTCTTGGTTCATTCGTCTTTTCAGGATTCAAGCATCACTCATCGTTCTAAGACCCAGTTACCTTCGTAACATAACGTACGACTTTATCTGGAATACTACACATACAAGTGGCTAGTGCTTGCCTTAACAAAGAGGCAGACACTGAAACTTGTAGTAGACAATTACAAAGAAACTAACAAAACTTTATTAACATCTCTTTGAAATGGTGTTGGCAAGTGTATATCTTCCTCATAGTATAGTCTGCCACATTTTATTTTGTATAGCTATTTAATTGTTGACATGCCTTATCCTTTTTCGCCTAAAAATCAACCAAAATTTCGGAAAAAGTTTTAAAATCTGGAGCGGAATGTATTATCAGTGGAACTATCAGTGTTAGACGACTTAAGCTTGTAGGGGTGATCAGTCGTAACAGTTCATTTAATGAACGTTTGAAAGAAGTAAATCTTCCTGAAAGAGTATACTATATTCGTTAGTGCTTACCTTATGATACTAAGTACTTGAGAAAAATGGTATAGGATGCTTTAAAGAACCTAGAGTCTAAAAAACTAGTGCCTGCTACGCTTTTACCTTGATTAAAGGCTACTGGCTTCCGGTTTAACACGTTCAGCCGTCCCACAGAGCGAACTTATGCGCAGTAAACACCTTTGATGAATAATTGGGCACCACATCTCCGCCAAGGCTGGCAAATACTACACGAGCCTTTCCTATCCATGCTGAGGTATCGTCATCACTCAGTCGATTGGTGCTGATGCGACTTTCCAAAAAAGTGAGTAGGATGACATACTCTGCTATATCACTCCTTATCGTTAAACCAGAAGTTGGTGCAGACCAGTCTTGCAGCGTCACCCTGCATTTTACAGAAATCGGATGCCGTACATACTGAAATACGTGTTTACGGTGTCCAGGAGATCCTGCCTTTTGTCGTCTTCACGCAGAAGGCCTGTATCATATGTTGGTCAGCGAGGCCCCCTTTATTAAAAAAATCAATTCTTTCAGTAGATTTGCATATGCACTAAACCGTTACATAAAGTACCAGCAAAATTAAATTACTGTATTCAGTTGTTTGTACCTTTCCTTTTATTATAGGTACTTCCTAATCCTGAGGAATTTATTCGTTTCTAGGAAATGAATCCTACTTTCAATCTTTTTAATGCTACAAACACAGTGACAATACATACAGTTCTCGACGCCTTCTTATCGGTCTGAAAATTCAGTTGTATAATTTCCTCGTGCAGATACCTTGGAAAGACGAAATATGGCTTGTTTCTGTAATGGTACTCCACTTAATCACACCAATATGCCTAATTAAACTTCGCAGTTTCACAAGTTTGCTTCTGTGTGTTTTGTTTTTCTTGCGTAAGTGTCTATATCCTCTTATATGTGTGATCTAGTTGGTACCGTTTGGTGTTCAGATTGGATTAATGAAGTCGCTGCTAATCATTGGAAGTAATCTTTATTTGATTATTGTTAATTTGCTTAGCTTATTTGCTACTGAACAGTATTTCGATAGTCATGGGTACTTCCTGTCGTGCATTTGGAGCATACCAGCCATTGTCAACAGTTTAATAATTACTGTAAGTTCGCTGGTCTACACTTACTCAATTGATTATATAGGTTTTGCTTTTCCTACAGGTGAATACTCTACTTGTACAATGCAAACGCCTTCAAATGGCACATCAGCAACATGTAAAGAAAGATTAATATATATACATATATATTATAACCTTATTGGGAGTGAACTGACTATTTTTGAATGATGTTTTGATGCTTCTTAACGTATGGTAATAGTTATTTTCACTATTATTTTAATATATTTTCTTAAAGTGTAGAGCTGACTGCTTGTTTAACATTAAAACATGAACAGTCAGAAATGCAGTCTGTCTGTTTTCGACATAGAACTTTGCAACAATGTGCGGCAGCTCAAGTCGCCACACTCCATGTGGCACACAAACCGAGAAGAAAGTAGAAGAAATGCATAGTAGGGACAGTAAACAGAGGTGTGAGACAAAGGAATAGTAATAACGAAGAACAAAACAGTTTCATTGGAAAGTATAAGTTACAGGGAGTGGATGTATCTGCGCCATTGAGAACGATTTTAAGCCATATCGCCAATTGTTTCCAACCATTGGTTTTTACCGTCCCGAGGACCCCAACAAGGAAGTCTACACCTTCCTACGTGACTTAGACTAACTGTTTTAGATTTCATTGACTGGTAAAGCCATGTTTTGTTTGACCTCCGCTAGCTTTTTTCCAGCCTGACCCCATATCCGCTAACATTGCTCGTCGAGGAAGGCGATGACTAGGCATACGTAGCACATGTCCCAACCATCTCAGTCTTTGTAACTTCACAACTTCTTCGGTCGATTTCCCCTCCTTACCTAGTACTCGACGCCTAACCTCAATATGGCTCACCTTATTATGCCACTTCACATGGGAGATAGAACATAGGCACCTATGATCAAAGACAGCTAGTCTTTTCATGTCTTCCACTCTCAGTGGCCAGGTCTCACAGCTGGCCATAAAGGAGGACGGAGCGGACCTCTGTGCAGTATACTCGCCCTTTGGTCGATAGTCGGATATATCGTCTACGCCAGAGACGGCGTAAACTGGCAAATGCGAAACGAGCCCCCTGTATCCGTGCTGAGATTTCGTCAAAGATCATTCAGTTCCTGTTCAGAAAAATGTAAAAATCTGGCTTTCAATCAGTAGGTCACGTGTTTGAACCTTGTTCTATATAGTGGGGGTTAGGAAACCACGTATCACCAGCCTCCACATAATGAGTGTGACTTATTGTTACGTGTATATGATTGTTGGATAACATTTCATTTTCATAAAAATGTAGGATTTATTTCGTATAAGTAGATTCACTGGGTTGATAAATTTCATATACAATGTACTTCTGCTGCCTCCCGCTGTATACTGATTTCGAACAGTATATGAAACGAATGTGTAGTTTTTACTGGTAAGGCAACCGAAACAAACTTTAAAAGTGTGGGTGATATCGCCTACGCCATACTGGTTTATTCCTGATTCCTGTCTGAACTATGCGGATAGTTTCTCTTTTTGTGTAATTCTACTATCACTGCTGCTGGTATATAACTTTCTAGATTGTTTTTTTTTCATTTGATTTCCCTTTACTGTATTGTTGTCAAGTCTAATAACGTACGGGTAAAAAGCTCACAGTAGTAGTATTCACTCACGTCCATGCACTTATATTCCACCTGTTTTAGTAACAGCGACCAGAATTAACTTATGTTCAGCTAGATGATCTGTTTTTAAATGTTTTTCGCTCATAACTCTGCAGATCTTCAGAAAATTTATCAGTAATGTATTAATTACCATATTAACCCGTGTGGATCATAAAGGCGTAGATGGGGGGAAGGATAATGCTGTAACGAAAGTCATCTTTACTACATTGAATAGTTCTATGGCTTCCAGTAAATATGTTATTATTCCATCTAAAAAATCTAATTGAGTAAACGTTTTGCGTAAAAGAATAACGTTTTCTGTCCAAAGAATAGGGTACACACTTCTTTCAGCCACTTATTTATGTGTAAAGGTCTTTTAAAGAATTATATCACGAAAAACTAGGCAGATTATTACTACGACATTCTTATCAAATTAATTAACAAAAACCGTCATGGGGAACAAAAAAAGAAGCATTGTGTAGGGTGGTATTAAATCTGTACATTATTTTATATTTCGAAAATATACAAGGAAATTACTTTACAAGTTATTATAATGAAAACACATCAGTTTTTTAAACCAAGCTTTTTCTTTTCTTTCTCCTTTTTTCTATGGACTTCTAGTTGGCGGTTGCGCCAGTCGCTCTTTTTAAGTTTAATTGGACGGTTACCAACATATTTACCTAAACAAAAGAGATAAAATACACAGCAGTAGAAATATTGTAAGAGCAATATTAAAGAGAAGGGCTGCGAATTTTCAGTGGAGTGACTACGAAATGTATGTGTATGTATTTGATCCTAGTGATTATCCAGATTCTATGTACCCCGATTTAATTATCCTCTCCGCTGCAAATTGGACTCCTGTGCAGAATTCTACGATGATAGCTCATTATGTATAAGGAAGGAGTGTATATAAATATGTACTCAAGTCATCTGACTTATTACAATAGGCATTTGACATTCTAGGAACATGGTAAAAAACAGGTATTACAAAGAAATAGTCGGAATACGTTTCTGATATTCAAGTTATTGCAAGTAGGTAAAGTTTATCGCTTGAAATCAGTCATTGTTTACGGATGGTAACTGCTGTACCTTTTTCGTTTGTTTTTGGTAGAGCTACCTGGAACAGATTTCACGATTAACTCTTTATTACTCTTTGGAAAATAATACGATTCAGTGTTAACTGAAAACTACCAAAAGGTTAGTATGCTAAAGAACCTAAGGGGATTTTCTGTCACATCTCAAGTTCGTTAGGATAACTCTGGCAGTGACTTAATTTTCCAAGTCAGTTCGAAAATATTAATTATTCCCTACTTCTCGTACTGCACCATCATCACATTAAAATAAGTAGAAACTAGAAATGGCTTTCATTTCTGTAAATCCCAGCAAAATGTTACCTTTAAATCTCCTTCAAGCCTGTTTCGACAGTTTAACCTACCCTTGCCAACTAAGCTATAATTAAAAACTTCATGTAATTCTTCCCATTAATAAACCTGAGCAGCTTCAGCTAGCTTGCTACGCTTTGCTGAAGCAATTGCCATCAAACGGAATCTATGTACGCAGAAAGAGACAATGGTGAATCTTGCACTGCCCCTGGTGATAACAAAAAATATACAACTTTCATGAGTCACCTTTCTCATGTTTAGAAAACTCCACTCTCTCATCTAAACATGACTCACCCTACCTTGTTTCTTTTCTTTCCTTTTTTCTATTGGATAAGACGTTTTCTTTAGTTGCGTAATCTACTTTTTTTGTTATGCTCTTTCTAGCTAAACCTTGTTTCTATACACACACATATATACGCAACTCTGTTTTTTGTTTCCAAGCCTAATTGTCTAATTATTCTATAAATAGTCAGTGTTTGTAACTCCTAGTCAGTTAAATCATTCCGGACTAATGTTACTTTTAATTCCTACCAATTACTCCTTGTGATCGTGGAAAAGTATGTCATATCTTTAATGTAATTCATATTTTTAACGTTCAGGTTGTAACCAGTTGAGAAGAATCTTCGAAATAATAAAAGATGAGCTCATATCATCCTGGTAAAATTGTTGTTCTTGCTTTGTTTAAGCTATAATTAATGATCCAGATATATACAGTGAAATAATCTGTTTCTTTAGGTTTCTCTCATAGGTGGTAAAATAATATATAGTGTGAAGTGAGTAAAATACCAACATTATAAGTATAATAGTTGTGACCGAATTTTTAATTCGACTTAGGAAATAACTTTATACTCACCATTCATTTCTCGCATAGCGCGAGTGAAATCTCCGGGATCAGAAAAGCTGACAAATCCATAGCCACGAGATTTTCCAGTGCGTTTATCTCGAACTACCCTTGCCTTTTGAAAAGATGAATAACGATTGAATGCTCTTGATAAAGTATCGTCTGTCACCTCATTGCCCAAATCTCCACAAAACAATCGAAAATCATCTACAAAATAAAAGATTGAAGCAGTCAATATGGGTTACTGAATAAAACAACTACCATTTATAGACGTAATCAAACCTCAAAGTAAAAGTGATATACAAGGGACACTTTAATGTGGGCTGCGACGGTTCAGAAATACATATAACTTTAAAGGACTATAAAGAGCATAGGCAACTTCATTATTATTATACTGCTGTATGCTTGAAAGTAAAGCAAATCGTCATAGAGGAAAGTATTATCAAAATGAATTACTACATCTTAGTTGTTTTGTGCTTTATGAGTCACATTGTGTGTTATATTTGGTAACGATTTGAGGTTGGGTAGAGTGGATATGGAGTGAGAGAGTGAAATATGGATACACTACCTATTGTTTATAAGTTCATCACCTTAGCTAACATATGGTAATTGAAGAAAGAAAAGGGAATTACGTCAGGACTCATGATAACATTTCACCTTTCGCGTTGTAGACAAGTGCAATAAATAAACAAACATCTTATCAACAGACCATTCAGATTGAAAGTTAACCTGAAATAGCAGAGACACTCGCAGAAACATTCTTTTCACTTACAGGAAATAAGGACTGGAGGCCTTCGTTATCTCATGATGTTGGTTTCTCTGTATTTGTTTATTCCCGAAAATTAGTTCTGGTAAGTCACTTTTCGGTGCAGTTAAATGGGTCGACCAACATTATAGGCATAGTAACAACTGCAAATACACGACATACCTGGGTCAGAAGAACAAAGAAACCTCAATAACTAACAGTTTAAACTAAAACCTGGAATCCCTCCGTGAAGTCTTTGACACTTAGTTCGAACCAGTTCCATAGGGAGGTGAGAAGCTCAGAATCAATGGCCAGAAACTATTGGTGATACGGTTCAGAATCGTTTTCAATGGTGCAGATGCATTCACCCTTTGTGATCTTCCGTATCCATTAAACCCTACCGTTTTCACTATCTTAATATTCTTCCCCTGTCACACTTCTGCTTATTATCGTCCTTTTGAATCTCTTCCCTCTCTCTCTTGTCTGCCTTTGTGTGCTACATCGAGTATAGAAAGTTGAACTGCTACATTTCTGTGCAAAGTCCTACGTTGAAACCAGTCAGCCAACAACTTACTTTTCCATCCGGCTTATAAACGGAAGTTCAACTTTGTTTACTGGTTGACTGCAACATATAGGGAGTACTAATACAAACCAGTTGAGAACTTGATAATCAGGTATGTTATCACATTTCACAAAGTGAAAAATGAGGAAGTAGATAAAGAATTCTGCAAAGAATAATAATGAGACATTTGCAGTAGCCTTAAGGAGTAAACTTGTTAACATTTGCATAATAAAAGCGGCACTACTTAAATTTAGGGTCCCATACTAGAAACGCCATAGGCTGGGTCGGCAACCTAAAGGTAGTTTGTCTTCAGCTCTTGTCTAGTTGTCAGTGCGTTTAAAACATCTAACACAGCCTTGCGTTCTGAACAAGTTACCAAAACTCGCTAACTCTAACGACATCTGGAAGTAGGTAACAGGTATTTATTGGATGCTTTTATAGGAAACTGAAACTAATGTGCAGCTTTTCCGAGGCGTTTCACACTGTCGTGTGTTAAGGCTGTCACGCGCAACTTTAAAAACGCTGACATTATAGCTGCATCCATTCGGTCTTTCACTTTTAATCTATTAATGCGCTCCAACAGCATCCCAACGGTAACTATGACAAATTCCAGAATCTGTGTTGCTTTTTTTTACTGCTAGAACTAAGACATTTGTAGGTGACGTACTCCTAAAAAGCTTCGAACAGCTATGTTGTCTAACGAACGATAAGGATTTATCTCCACAATCAGAAAGGGGCAGTGAAGTTCTTGCCATCAAAATTAATGAACATATGACAAATTGTCTGATAGTGCTTAAACTAGTGCGTCGGTGCACAGTGGTTAGGACTCTCGCCGACCATGCACATGGTCCGGGGTTCGAGCCCTCGCCGACGCACACCTGATATCTATGGTTGGCCTGCGAATTTTGGGCTACCGATATCCACGCTGAAAATTCCACACTTGTACCAAAAATACGGTGTGGAATCAAGCTGTAACCATAAAATAAAATAAAAATAAAATAGTGAAAATCCATATCGCTATGTTACAAAAGAAAATTAAGTTTGAAGAAAGACTATGACAAGCAGGTCGAGAAAGCTTTGGTGGCTAGAGCAGATTAAGGGGACGTTTTATTAGTCTTCCATCTCACATGTAGGACTCTTCCCAGTGATAATTTCGTGAAAACAGTATCTCAGGCCTTGGATATGACTAAAAGAGAGATTCCTAAACGTGACAGCAATCCCATAAACTACCGGAGTTTTGTAAACAAATTTCGAAGACTGTGTAACACCATAAATAACAGCCGTGAGTTATGGTTTACAGTAAATACGGATGGCTAGCTATTGGACACTCCACTGGAAGGGATAGTAAAGAATCTAAACCCGTAAGAAGAACGCTGATCCAGATTCTTAATAGTGTCTGAGGCTCAGTTCTCTGAATCTAATTCTAAAGAAACTAATTAACAATCCTTTGGAAGAATCATCTTCGTTCGACCCTGTATAGTATGTCTAGAAGAGCACTTTTTAAAGTGATGTTCGCAATTTAACGATGGGAACTTGGATGAACGTTTTGATACTATCTCTGGAAAAGATTTCAGGGGCCTGAGTAGTAAAATGATTGCCCCAGGTGGAAAGAGTTGTGCCAAGAACGAATCGGATGGCATCTCGGGGTCATTTATATGATGCGGACGTTAAAGGTTAAGTGAATGTAACGATTAAAAAATGGTTCTGTTTACCTAGTGGATGTTGCGCCATAAAACTTTATATTGGGCACTAATGGAACTTTACACCGAAGTCCTTGGAGAAATTAGTGTGATGAACTATGTCTTATCTACATATAAATCCGATGAAAATTGTGAGTTACACACACTTGAAGATTCAGCTCGGCTATTAGGTTGACTCAGTGTCTTCAGATTTTGTTCTGAGACGCTAACGATTCCTGCAATGTGTTAACATTTCATCCATAATAAAGAAATGCAAATGAACTTGAAACTATTAATTCTTAAAAAGCAATCATTGGAGAATGTCAGTAAAGCAAAACTACAGATACTTAGGCTTATAGAGAGTGTGGTGTTTTCCAACAAGCCTGAAACACTAAGACCCGTGAAAAATAAGTGTGTATACCCCACATGTAGCCCTGAAGGAGGAAAAGTCAAAACGGAAAATAAGTTGTTACATCATCTAATCTACTCCAGCAGAGCTATGAACAAAAACATTGTTTGCAAAAGTCCGATAAAGAAACCCGTTCAGCTTGTGGTGGACATCATTCGTGTATTGTGTTCTCTACAATCACCACACATACCTTTCAACATTAGACATACAGTTACAGTACCTGGTAAGAAAATTGTTACCTATAACAGTGGCGCACTGTAACCACCAGAATGCTCATAGTGGTATTATGCATCTTCTAAACAGTTTTCGAGAATATTGAATCCTTAAATGTTACACTGCTGTTAGAAAAGTCTCAAAACAATGCTTAGGTCGACACCGTGTCCTCAGCAAATGGCTCCACCGCTTGAGTGCTGGTAGGAGGTTTATCTACCAATACTCCATTCTGTTGGTGTTGACTATTTTGGGACATTTTATGCAAAGAGCGGTTTCTTGTTTATTTACAGGAGCAGTTCGTGTTGAAATGTCACATATTCAGTGACAAGGGCTCAAAATGTGGAGTAGTTTATGCTTGCCTAAAGCAAATTATCAACAGCTGGTGTCAGGGTGAGATAGTGGTCTACGAGGAAGAATATGAATGACATATCAATCTACCTGGAACTAGCTACTGATGTCTGTAGGAGAGCGTCGGACGGGTCTCACAGGCATTTTTAAACAACCAGCCTCTAATACAACTAATAAACGACTATGAAGATTTAGGTGTGCTAACATCAAATGAGCTGCTGCGAATTTAAAAACCGTTACAATTAGAAACTGGTAATTAGTAGAACATCATTATATTATAACAGATGTAAAGAAGCATATATTTGACAATCTGTCTTGGAGTTGGTGGGTACGCGAAGTCTTCCCAACCCTACAAGCAAGATGGAAGTGTCTAGATATGAACAGGAACATGCAGTCTGGAGACCTAAGCCTGGCAAATAATATGGGCATACTTAGAGGGCTTTGGTGTATTATGATAGGAAGGTAGGTTTGAAGACCATAACTCAAAACATCGATTGAGCCGTAAGAAGTTTGTGTCTGTTAGAAAAAGCAAACTACCTGAATACTTCGGAGACGACATGTCAGCGAGGTAGTTTTCTCGTTGGGTTTGCTAACTGCAACACAAATATTGTGACGCCCCTCACCAGTCAAATACCAAACATGGTATTCACATGACCTTTAGCGTTGTCTGTACATGCGCATTATTTAGGACTAATTATGTGTCTGTTTCTTATTCCTACTTAAATAAATGTAAATGCGACTCATTCAACATTTCGTTTCGCAAATAATTACTGTTCGTTATATTTCTACCTTCGCTTGAAAGGGAACTGCGATTTACATATTGCTGTCATGTAACCGTACTAGTTTTGCATTTCAGAAACAGCCAGGCTACCAGTGTTTTAACTGAATCAAAGCTCAGATTTTTTGTCATTACTGTTGACCGTAATAACTAAGACATCTAGAGGCACTTAAATTTTGGGGTAACCTGTGTCGACAGTCTATTTGAGTCCACTTTAGTACGTACCATGGTAGATGATGAATCTCCACACTTCAAAGTAATGCTGATTAAGAAAAGCAGCAAATAACTTCCCATCTGCCTCACTTAGTCTCTTCACTTGTGCAACAAGTGTATCTGAGAGATTAAAATTAGCATTAACTCAAACAGTCTTTGGTAGGACTTACTCGTTTTGCACTATGTAAACTATGGTTAGTGAGTACGAAAACAAAGACAATTACTAAATTAATCTCCACCTTGTCTTTCGATCACTCAATAAACTTGTGCAAAAGGTAAATCTTATATTAATATAAGGTAATATAAATACTTACTTGGATCCCATTCGGACAAGGTTGGGTCTTCCCATGTAACTCCAGCAGCCGTCCGGATGTATTTCTTTTTCTTGGTAAACTGATCATTTGTATTTGTGTTAGCGGAACGATAAATAGAAGGGGGAGGTGGCGGGAGTAAAATAGTTTGTGTCACCTTATCAGCATCGGTATCTACGGATGAGTTGGCTGGTTTCGATTTATTATTCGACTGTCCAACAACTGGTGTCAGCGGAGGTTTTGTAATACTAGCCGTGACTTTTTCTAAACCAACGAGAAAAAATATGTAGATACATCATCTCTTACTCGAAATAAACCGCACAGAATTCTTAATTATTTATCACAGAATAATTTGTATTTGCGCTCACTTAAGTTGTGATTATTTTTAAAGTGATTAAGTGTGAAATACTGCCAGTTTAAATGAAAAAAATGTATACATCAGAACCTCTGTAAAGGTGAATTATAGGAGAAAAAGCGCCTTATAAATGTACACTGAAAACAGTTTCATTAACCACTTCGGTGTACATCATGGAGAAAACACAAATTACATATATAAACAGTGATTATTAGTTTGAAGAACTTCCACAAAATTATTTGTTGGATGTTACTTGAAATATTTCTCACTTTGCAATTAAACACTTAAAGATACTTTCAAGATGCGTCAATCGAGAGACTATTAGCCCAAACTGCACGGAAATGGGACCTACAGTGCGAAAATTTAATTATCTTCCTTACACAAGCTGGAGTGTAGGTAACACGTGAACGAGAGAGCTTATACATGAGAAGCAGTCAACCAGTAGTAAGCACTGAACCTTGGGTTTCGTGCTTGCACACTCGGTATCAAAGTTTTTCTGCTAATCTGAAGAAATCCATGTTGCTTTGACACTTCGAAAATACGAAATTTATGGCATAAGTAAACGGAATATTTCTCTTTAAACGCTTAGAACCAAATAACTACATTGGTTACCACCGGGTGATCAACCTGTGCACAGATCCTATGCTTCCAAACCACAAAAATGATACTAAATCTAATTTATTACCTAGTCGGAACAGTAATGACCATTTTTGAGAATTACCATGCGAAAATTTCGAATTCTGTGATATTCTTACTAATCGTTGATAGGACTATCAGCTAGATAAATTAAGATACGGAGGGTGAGGGATTTTTGTACTAGAAAATTACTACTAACCATATAAAGTCCAGCGATGTGGGGACATCACTCGTACCAAATTCCAAGAAACTTCATGAACTCGTTCATGAAGCCGGCTCATCCTCCGTAGGAGATAGCCGAAGTAAAGTAAAGTAAGTAAGTAACCATATAAAGTAGGGAATAAAGCAACTGGCTTGTTTGTAGCATACAATTAAAATTTGGAAAAAAAATTATCAGGAATTTGTGTAGAAAACCTTCTACTGATTCGGGCTATTTTATCTATTTTGCCAGTAAGTCTTTCTTTTTTTAAAGGCTAATCATGCTATATTGTAAAAACGCCATATGTGAATATGCACAGAAGAGCCTGACGGTTATCTTTACACTTTCTAAGAAGTTATCAGGTTTCTTAATTAATTCTGCATTTTATTTTTCTGCAGGGACGGTGAATTCATTAGTTTCAAGAGTAAATACGGTGCCTGTAGATAGTTTTGGGTGAAATATTTTAAGGCAGCCAAAAATGAACAACTGCATCAAAGTCGTCCTATTTCGCAGTAAGAATAAATAATTTATATATATATATATATTATATATATATATTATGACTTACCTTTTCCATCTGGTCCCTGAACACGTGTGTAAGTAACTCCAGCTGCTGCAGCTAACAATGCTCGAGTAACATCGTCATCCTCGTCTTCAGCTTTAGATTTGGCAGCTGCGGCAGCAGCAGCAGCTTCCTTTGCCCGAGCCGCCAACTCGTTAGGCCCTGCCATTTGTGGCGCCGCAGTGATGATTTTTTGGGTAGGATTTGATTCCGCATTGGTCCCTTTATTACTTGCTGCAACGGAAAATGTTTCTGTCTTTGCAGTAGGGACTGAAATGTTAGTTGTTTTAGGTGGATTAAAAGCTGGGTTAGGAGGTGGTATGTGTGTGTGCGCCATATTGATAGGGTAACAGGATACAGGAGGCTGAGATAGAGGGACAAACATGGATACTCCTGGTGGCATCGGTAAAACTAAAAGAAAAGAAATGAAATATATTTCAATGGCAGACATGGAAAGTACTCAAGCTTAAAGTGGGTGAACTCTCTGTCCGAAAACACATCTCACTTATAAACAGTTTAATAGCCAAAATTCAACGTATCTCATACCCAAGTAACACCAAGAAGAATTTGAGAATGCCTCAATAAGAAGCCCCTTCAATCAGGGGCAATGAAGAAAGGTGTGCAGGTAGTTACTTGGTAACAGTTATAAAACTTTAATCAGTGATTTCTGACTGAATGCTCTTCTGTAACTTATCGTGAATCATGTCAAATACCGTTTTGACTTTACATACACTAGAACCAATGTACTGACAGGTAATTATACAACACAAACCACAGGGCATTTTACGAAGTATGAAATTTTAATCCAACAGATTTGAGACTTTGATGTAATTCGACAGCATTATGACACAATGCGATTAGAAATATGAAAAACAACAGTTCTAGGTGTATCACGATATTAGAACCAGTTATTCATATTGATTGGCTAGATCAGCCTCAGCCTACACGACGATGAAAGACGACTGGGATAAGTTTGTTAACAATCTAGCTGATACCACTAACTGCAAAGTTTGGAATTCTGAACCAAATTATACACTTGAAGAACCTCTGTAATTGCATACAATTCAAAATTATGTACTGCTACAGGTCATAATTACATCTCACAGATTCTGTGTTGAGCTCTAAGTATTTAGTGTGGTAGAGTTCGAGTACGGTATACAAATAAACGATACGGCGCTTTCCGAAAATAGTGGTGCGCTTCGTTTAAGCTAGTGGTAAGTCATCCATTATGTGAAGTCAAACAAACGAATCAACACGAAACTTTATACATACGCATACCATCTTAAGTTGACACTTGGTAGCAGTATAAACCAATGGAAAATATAAAAACATAGTGCCGATATGATAAGCACGTACTTAAAAGAAATAAAAAATTAAACAAAGATCAGTGGATGTGCTCAGAAAATAGATTTGTTCTATCTTTTCGTCTGACTATACATAATTCTTTTCAGCCTAATCTTATTTCAGCTAACACTGTTAGTGAAGGAGGGTCGTAGCTCAGCAAGGATGAGTACTACCAAAAGCTGTCTAGTTTGCTGCGAAAGGATAAACGCTCAGACATAGTCGTTCTAGCTGGTGACTTTAACACTGAAGTAGGGAAATTGTGTCAATCTGAGAAGGATGTCGGTGGCACCTATGGAGTTCCGTGCCAGCGAACCGACAACGGTGACCGTCTCCTACAGTTCTGTTCTGATAATCATTTGTTTCTTGTAAGCACTAACTTCAAACACAAGGAGAGACACTGTTTGACTTGGAGACCCCCTTCATCAAACCAACGCTGGACACAAATAGACCACATAGCAATAAGCTATCGTTGGCGTGGGTCGGTAGGAGATTGTCGCTCCTTCTGGAACACGTGTGTAGATACCGACCATGCACTGGTCCGCGCTCGGGTGTGCTTACGACTGAACGGACGTAGGAAACAGCTGGCGGTAAAACCATCACGTCCCCAGCTCGATCAGGAAACTAAATCCGTATTTGAGGAAGAACTAGCTAAACACATATCTGTGTTCGACAGCTGTGCTCACCCTGAAGAAGCTTGGAAAAATATCCAGGCAGCCATAGATACAGCTGTAAAAGCTGTGAATAAGGTAAACCCAAAGGTGAGTAAAAACCACTGGATCTCCACCGCCTCATCCGAACTGATAGATGCTAGAAGACTTATTCCGGCGAGCTCCGAATTCAATGAGGAGCGAAAGCTGCACAAGAGGAAACTTACGAAAAGTCTCCGCAAGGACCGTGAACAGTGGTGGGCGACAAAAGCCAAAGAGATGGAGAAAGCTTCGAGGATAGGCAACACCAGGCAACTCTTTGGACTCATCAGGGAAACGGGTGGGAGAAGACAAATCATTAGTGAGACAATCTCGGAAAAAAATGGCACTATAATTAGCTCCCAGGATAGACGACTGGATCGTTGGAAAGAGCATTATGAGGAGCAGTTTAATTGGCCCACAGCCACGCTCAACCTTCCGAGCATCCAACACCTCCCTGAATGGGATATAGACACAGGTCCTCCGTCCCTAACTGAGGTTACTAAAGCTGTCACCAATCTGAAACTAGGCAAAGCAGCGGGACCTGATGGAATGACTCCAGAGGTATTTAAGTACGGTGGAGACAGCTTACTGTCTACATTAACTGAGGTACTAGGCAGCGTCTGGGAATCAGAAGAAGTCCCATCGGGTTGGTGTAAGTCACTGATTATCCCCATATACAAGAAGGGAGACAAGTCTTCCTGTGATAATCACAGAGGGATTAGCTTGACTAATATAGTATCTAAAGTCTTAGGCTCAATAATCATGCGTAGACTGAGTGGTGCTCGGGAGGCACAAACACGAGAGAGCCAGGCAGGCTTTAGACCAGGAAGAGGGTGTATTGATCATATCTTCACCCTCCGACAGATTCTAGAACATAGGCATTCCTACCGGCGTCCAACAGTCATTATATTTCTTGACCTAAAGGCAGCATTCGACTCTGTCGATCGGGAAGTTCTCTGGAGATGCTTGGCTGTAAAGGGAATTCCGAGAAAATATATTGCACTGATTAAGGCACTCTACTCGTACTCATACAGCCAGGTGAGGGCTTACGGCGAGCTGTCATCTGAACTGATGACGACCAGTGGTGTCCGTCAAGGATGCCCATTATCTCCTTTTCTATTCAACTTCATCATAGATGTGTTAATGGACTTAACCCTAGGTGACTTCAGCGACTCAGGGATTGACTTGCTACCGGGGAATAATCTCGTTGACTTGGAATATGCAGACGATATAGTCCTTCTAGGCGAAGACGCTGACGAAATGCAGAGTCTTCTAAACACCTTGAGCCGCAATCTACGAATGTTTGGCATGCGATTCGCTCCCGCCAAATGCAAGATGATGTTACAGGACTGGACTACATCGACGCCTAGTTTAAAAATAGGAAGTGAAGTGGTAGAGCACGTTGACCGCTTCACTTATTTGGGAAGTACCATCAGCCCCAACGGGTTGATCTCTGACGAAATCTCAGCACGAATACAGGGGGCTCGTTTCGCATTTGCCAGTTTACGCCGACTCTGGCGTAGACGAGATGTTCGACTATCGACCAAAGGGCGGGTGTACTGCTCATCAGTCCGCTCCGTCCTCCTTTATGGTTGTGAGACCTGGCCACTGAGAGTGGAAGACATGAAAAGACTAGCTGTCTTTGATCATAGGTGCCTGCGTTCTATTTCCCGTGTAAAGTGGCATAATAAGGTGAGCAACATTGAGGTTAGGCGTCGAGTTCTAGGTAAGGAGGGGAAATCGATCGAAGAAGTCGTGAAGTTACAAAGACTGAGATGGTTAGGACATGTGTTACGTATGCCAAGTCATCGCCTTCCTCGACGAGCAATGTTAGCGGATATAGGGTCAGGCTGGAAAAAAGCTAGCGGCGGTCAAACAAAACTTGGCTTTACCAGTCAATGAAATCCACAACAGTTGGTCTAAGCCACGTAGGAAGGTGTAGACTTCCAGGCTGGTTGGGGTCCTCGGGACGGTAAAAATCTATGGTTGGAAACAATTGGTGACATGGCTCAAAATCGTTCTCAGTGGCGCAGATGCATCCACTCCTTGTAACTTATGATCTCCAATGAAACTGTTTTGTTCTTCGTTATTACTCCTCCTTTGTCTCACACCTCTGCTCACTGTTTCTATTATGCTTTTCTTGTACTTTTTTCTCTTGCTTCGCGTGCTACACGGAGTGTGGCGACTTGAACTAGTGCACATTTGTGCAAAGTTATATGTCAAAAACAGACAGAGAGAGACAGTAGCTCAGCAAGAGTTATACCTGTCCTAGTCACGTAATTGAGAGGCATCTTCATATCTAAAACTCGATTACCTTATTAGTACTGAAAGCATTATTCTGGTTAACATGAAAAGTCCGAGGAATATAACCAGCTGCGGAAACATCTAGTTAAATGAGTAATACTCACTCTTTCATTTATTCCACTTTTTATTGCCACTTTCACAGCCAGAAAAATGGACGGAGCAAACTGCAGTCTACACCTTGTTTGAATCATAACTGGCAAAATCCGAATGATTTTGTATTCATTTCATTGGTTAATAGTCGTAAAAATGAGATATGATCATGATAACCTAGGTTTCAAATAAGTCTTATTCAAGTGATCGACCTACTCATATTCTTTTACTTATGCAAAAAATCTTGTCCAGATTTAACGCTTTAATCATGGGATGAAGGTTTCTCCATTAGGACCACTAACTACCGGGGCCAACTTTACAAGAGGTGTTTCCATGTGCACCTCATTAGTAAGAATGAACGGGTATATATACCTATTTCAAAAAAAGGCCAACATAATCTCGACACTTTCAAAACCAAAGTATCTGCCGATTTGCAGTCAAGTCTTTAAAATGAATTCTGAGGGTCACTTTAATCAATACGTAAGAAATTATTTACGGAAATTGGCAGTTGGTAGAAACTTTTGTCGATTTTAACGCAGGAATATGTGAATATGTAAATTTAGAGCAGTCGGCCGACACGTCAGTCAGCTGCACTTCACTGTGTGTAACAGGTCTATAAATCTGAACCGTCACATGGTTTTTTATAGTTTTACCAGGAGTAAACATGAGGAAAATAAAAGCGAAGCTGACAACTATAAACCACGATGAGGAGAATCAATTCTTTCCACACATAAGAATTTAACATTGCAGCACACAATAGCCATCTATACATACCTGGGAAAACTGGCTGAACAACATTCGCTGCACTCTGATTCACACGTAACTGAGGAGGAATAAAGCTAGTTGCTGGTGGGAAGGTAAACCCACCAGATAGTGGAACATTCGGAGCTGGAACAGATGACTGATGAGCGATTTCTGCCTCAAATCTGTGCACAAAATTACACAAACAACAATTGCTCATTACCTATCCATCTCCTTCTCCATCTGCTTAAGCTTGTCATTACTCTCTGTCATAGCTTCTCTGATTTCCCGAAACGTATTACCTGAGAAACGTACGTTTAACTGTCGCGCCAATCCAGTATCCAAGATTCTTTATAGATATATTGGTTAATGAGATAAGGAGGTGCTTCGATGTCTTCTGACATCTTGTATCGTGACCAGGCCATACCAGGAGTAAAACATGTGATATATGTCACGGTACTCCAGGTACTTTTCAGTCGCCTCTCACGCCATGAGACACCATCGGTATTCAACTTTCTTATTTGAACCTAAACAAAGCTGCCTACAAAACCACAAGAGTATCTCCTGCTAGTTTAGTAAAGGTTGGGTGTGTTATCCAAAATGTCATTTAGCTGAATGATGGTACTTCATAATTTACAAGTCGGGACTTGAAAAATCACTATGTGGATCGAAGGGAGAAGCTTTACTTCCGTGCCACATGCATAGGAAACCAAAGAGATCATTGGACCTTCCAACATTCCTTGACCATTGCCTTTTCATACAGTAACTACGGCTGGCCACGATTTGGATTATCGCTCTTTGAATAATGCTACTGTCCCTGACCATCATCCGATTCCATACCCCCGTGACTTATCGCTCACTCTGTGTGGAAAAGCTGCCTTCCCTTAAGTCAATTTATTCAGGGCCTGTCACCAGATATCGGTTGCCTCAGGAGGCAATGGAAAGACGGTCCGCATAACAACTATCGGGCTGTTCGAATTTCTGAGAATGCCTTTCGGCTTGAATGCTACGCAGTAATTCCAACGTTTTATAGATCAGGTTACACAAGGTCTAGGTCTTGTCCTTGTATATATTATTGGTGTTCGGATAACCAACACGTCTGTGAAAAAACATCGACCATTTAAGTGTCTTATTTCAGAGCTTCAAAGAATCTGGCGTCGTCAGTAATCCCAAGAGGTTGATTTTCGGTACTTATTCTACACAATTTTCGGGAAATCGTGTGACAGTTTGCGGTATCTATCGTTCTGGAGAAAGACAGAAACTATTAGGAACTTCCCTGAGACGGATTCTTTGAAGAAACTTTGGCGTTTTCTCAGAATGTTTAATCTTTGTTGACGCTTTAACCCTTCAGATGCCCCCACTTTACAACCATTGACAGATCTACTTAAATGTAATCCAAAGAAGTTCCAGTGGTCCATGGATATGGCAGGTACCTTTCGCAACGCCAAAGATGCTTCCCCTAATGTCGTCATGTTGTCCCAAACCGACCCCAAAGCATATCGCTTATTGTGCACATGTGCTTCGCAAGTAGCAGTGGAAGCAGTGCTACAACAGCGGATGACTGGTGAAGTCACTCCACTCGCCTACTTTTCTGAGGATTTAAAACCAGCTCAGACTCGTTACATTCCTTTCGGCCAGGAACAATAAACCATCTGTCTAACAGTGGAGCATTTTGGTTTGTTGTTACAACGCTCACACTCCCCCATCTTTACAGGACATAAACCACTTTGCTACGCATTTACCACTTCCCTGGATAGACAATCGCCAAGAGGAGCTAAGTAGCTCAGTTATATATCCCGCTTTTCGACCTATATTCAGTATATCAAAGGAGATGCAAACGCCGTAGCCAACTCCCTTTCTCGATGTATTATTGACCAGCCTCCTTTGATAAACGTCATTTGGGATAGTATTGCTCGTTTACGATGCACTGACACCGAAATTCGCGCTTGTGCAGAAAAATCTTTTTCAATTTCAGAACTTACTTATTACTCCCTCTTACTCATCTATCGCTTGCGATGTTCCTGCAGGGGTTCATCGCCCTTCTGTACTCCAAAGTAGCAAATAATCTCCCACATATGTCCTCGTTTTGTGTACATGACGGACGCCAGTCTACGGGCATCATCAACTCGATAAATAATATATACATGCAGTAAGCATATATACAAGGTAAGGTAATGGAATGATGTCGGTAAGCACACTCTACTTAAAACAATTTATTTGTTCCTATCTGTGTAGAACAGCATTGTGCATTCATGGATAAGTATTATTTAAATTAATTTAAATTTGGTCTTTGTTAAAACTACATGGTTGCCGTCTTTTCTGTCTTTAGTTTGTGGGAGCAATCTGCTAACTAGTCATTCAGTGGAGCCATTAAGAAATATCGTCTTCGTATTAACAAAATAAACCCAAGTACGTGTTGGATAGACTACAAATACTTGAAAAATAAAGCTTGAAGTCATTTCCCCCATATAACTTTGGTGTGCACGGCATCGAATCTTAATCCTGATTTACATCCAAATTGGGTATTAATTAAAAATGAGTGATATATTTGTAAATTTTGTCAGCATTTTGCATCGTAAGTAATATTAGAAGTGAATTGTACCCGATATAGACTAATATACGACACTGTCAGGCAGTTTAGCATAATTAGTTCTGTTAACCTGTTGTTTTATTCAGATCACTCTACATGATTTTATCACTAGTTGTTCCACTACCCATTTAACTCTACTAAATAGACTGTACCTTAGTTGCTGTAATAATAAGTACTTCTATACTCCATAAATTTCTAGGGGAAACTTAATTTCCTAGTCTTTTGTAATAACTACTTATACACATGTATGCATATACGAATATAATGCTGCTAAAATGTCCTCCGGTATCGATGTATCTGAAGACCTAATGGGTAGCAGTTGTCATGATGGCTATTAACGTGTGTGATTGGGGCGGGCTCAAAGCAGTGCAATGCTGCAACTGCGGTTATTGCCAAAAATCTCAGGGCTTAACATCATAAAGGGAGGGAGGCTGATGCGTACTGATCAGCAGATATGGTAACGGTCACAGATATGGACCGCTCCAATCTGTAGGACAGCAACAAGCATTTTTTGACAACTCGAGAATTAAGCATGAGTCTAGGTCCTCAACAAAAACAATAAGGGTCGTACAAATCTAAATTTTTTAACGCGTTTGATTCTAACATCCACAAGCTGTCGCACGTGCCAGTAATGTTTGCAGATCATCTGCCACTGTAAGTGGCCAAAGATCCACATCCGTTACCATTATTCAGAAAATCATATAGAAGCGAAAATTGTGATAAAGAGAAGAACACGAACGGTGGAAGCACAGAAGAAATGAAGTGAGGTCCCCAAGGGGTGATTTATAAATTTATATATACATATGTATTCTCTGTGGAAAATACGACTGTGTTGGTACACTAGATAACTAATCCTGTTATGCTGACTTTTATATAATGTGCGTGAACTAATATTAATGGTCCGTGTAGAAATGTTTGTCTTGTCCTTCGAAAAGTATCAAAACTAATCATGGTAGTTTCTTGTACCATACGTCTGGTGAACTTATAATGTATATGCTGGGTGAAAAAGAAGGTGTTGGTGTCAGGCAAAGGAGAGAATTGTCATTTTTGAGCAGTCTGGTGACTGAGGAGATGAACACCGGGAGTGCATTTGCATCACGCCTATTGGCTGGTAGTCTGTTCAAAATGACCGAAAAATTAACTATGAAGAAGTTGTAATGCACGAAAGTCTGACAATGATTTCTAAGATTGTAACTGGTGACAGTGCCAAATTTAGTTACGGGCCCGGAGGAGTGCAAGAGAACATAAGTAATAATGACATATCATCACTTTGTTCACGTCAGGGGCGCCAGTTTATGGGGTGAGGATATACGTGGGTTCGTGTTATATTTTCCGCGACTCAGTTTTTTTCGTCTTTCATTGGCTAGAATGGTGGCGGTCAATCAGAGTTTGAATTGTCCTTGGGTGCGTGCTGTCGGGTGCCGTCTTTGCGTGGTTGTGTTTGCGTCGTTTGCCAGCATATGTGATTACTATAAACGTGTATTAGACTATTGTAACGCTTTGTTTTTCTTTGTTTGTGCATGTACTAGGCTTTATTTGTCGTACAATTAGTTGTTTGGTCTATTGGTTGCTTGCGATTTCAACGAACCGGTGGGTTCTTGTGTTTTTCTGTAATTTAGGTTATACGTGCGGTATTTTCTTGATGGTTATCGATCATCCCTGTATTTCGATGTTGTTTGTTTACGATTTATCTTGGAATAGTTGTGACATAGATGGATCCTAATTGATAATTTTATTTGAGTCCGTTGCAGGTAGTCAATTCGAGTGACAGGAGCACAGATTTATGTGGAATTTTTGCTGAATACATACTTGGAAGGCGTTTCTTCAGCTGGGATGAATTTAAGAAGTCATTAGCAGAATTTCAAAAAGTGAGGAAGTCATTTAATGCTAACAGTGTAGCTATATGTGGGGGTCACTAAGGTGAATCGCCCCATTCTGCAGGAACAGCAATATACAAATTAAAGGCTCGAGATATTTCCGATTTTTATGAGGGCTTAGATCTTTATCTTGAAAAAGATAATAATGAACGCCTTGACAGATCATGCTTCTACCTTTAAATATATACCATTCGCTCAGCCTATTGTTGAGATGCGACCATGTGGGATCTGCACAGATTTATGGGGCATCTTATAAACTAACTTGCTGTCCATTGTCGGATCTTTAAATACCACTTCACAATGTCTTATCGGATTCATTTTCTAATAACGTCTTTACTTAATCCTCATTATATCCCATTAAACCTAACATTTTATAGCTTTTTATGAATTTGATTCGACTTATTCTATTCCTATTCTCTGTGAGGTACGGTTGTGCACTAAATGCACAAAAAGGTATAAAACAAAAACAACTGGCACAACTGAGGATAAATGTATTAAAACCAAAAGTGGACATCATGATAGTACGAGATATACGTGTAGCATTATGCATTGCAAATGAACGTTGTCAGCCTAGGGAGTTTCCTTTATTAATGCATTTATTAGTGATACTTGCACTTACCCATTTCATTACACTTTATTGATTCACCTTAGCACTTTTACTTTTCTAAAACAGCTTTGAATCCCTTGTAAAGTTGTACTTACCTCAATATTGGTTGGTTATCGTATGCCGACAACCACGGGATGAAAACGAAACGAAGTCCATTTTCCCGCTCAACCTGGAGGACAATTGTACAATTCAATAACTA